AAGTAGGTAGACGTGGTGCTTCAGGAGACGGTTTAGTACTTAGGGATTGTAGGGTGGACAGTTGGACTTGATGATCTTGAAAGTCTTTTCCAATCCTGATTATTTGATGATGATTATTAGTATTTCTCTTTAAACACAAGTATGTAACTTACAATGAACATAAAGCACAATCTATATTCTACTTCCAGAATTCTCCAGCATGGATATGCTTCAGTAACATAATACTGACTTTGGTAACTCAAAAAAAAACCAAATTGAGAAGAAGACAAAATTACATTGAAAGGATGAAGCATTGAAATGTTGGTCATAGACATACTCATTAAGAAGCATGTAACAGGAAACAATACCAATAAATAACAGGGTTATTTTAATTTGCCTCAGTGAGACAAAATCTTGTTAAGAAAGAGCTGTTTTCTTTTTCCCTGTCTGCTGTTCTTCCTGCAGCACTGAACAGGTCAGTGCAGCTTGCCTCTACCAGCCAACATCTGTTGATGTTTCTGTCACACCAATGCATAAAATATTGGTGTGAAACTCAGAGAAACACCTAGCATACCCTTCTAAATAAAATAATTTCGCTTTGCTATACCGAAGGCCATCTAAAAAAAAAATCAAAGCAAAATGGACTATAGCTGAAAGAAAATTTCCTTCCACATCTATTGAGAATTAATTACAGAAAAAGAGCTTGCAGATTTATTAAACAAACTCATTTCCTAAGAAAGCAAACAGAATATAAAAGCAAAAATATAGCTTTAACAGATACACTTAATTAATTTATTTTGGCAAATAAGATTAATTGTAATGAGCCATCACAGCATTTTGTGTCATATTAACAAACTGTGAATATGTAGTAGCATATTTTATAAAAACATTTTATAAAATGTACTTGCTGAAAGGTTGGAAGAGGGTGCCAACTATAAGGCATTCAAATTCAATAACTGCAGGTTAATATAATATTTTAAATTACTTGAGCTTTCAATGCAGGGTTCAGGTAATCCAACCCAGCTTCTCACATCTAGTCCTCCTACAAATACTATATCCTCACGTAGCAACTAAGCTCACCTCACAGATTCAGAGCAGAAAATAAAAGCTAAAACACTGTGCTCACTTACCAACTGTTCCATATTTTATCAGGGCAGGAAACCCTCTATGAAAATATGATGAAGTAATGGGCAACAGTTGAACATCTCAGCTGAATATCTCATCCTCCTCCTTTCTAAATTATATTATTTCATTATGGGGATTATTGTATGTTATGATTATTAAAACACAACTAGCAAAGGAATGAATAGAAAAAATAGTAGATGCTTTACTATTCAATTATGCAACATTTTCAGGTAGGTCCTGAAGATAATGTATCCTTTCTGCAACACCACAACAAGATCAAACTACTGCCCTGACTATAGTTACTTTTTTCTTTCCACAGAAGGACACATTCCCCTTGCTTTAGTATCTTCACACATCTCCAAATTTACATGACCAAAGTCAGGCCTTTAAATCCACAATAAGAACTGAAGCTCAATATTTGGAAGCCCAAATTGACTACTAGGACAAGAAAGCTGTAACCTGTTCTTGTTTCATTGGGGTTTTACAGCATTGGTTCTGAAATCAAGATGAAGCACACCAGTTCTCCCTCGGAATTTCAGAGGACAGTCATCCATGTGTTTCCTCTTCATAATCACAATTTTATAGGCCTAAAGCTCCATGCCTGGTTGCATTGCTGTCTGGGCACATAAGCATTTGGACCCTTACATTACAGCATCACAATGCCTTGAGATGTGATGTCCATTTTCCTTGATTCCAAGACATAGGGTATGTCAATAAGATGCTTATCAGTGTTGTTCTGAGCTGCTAAAAAGGTTAGTGGTTTCTCCCATGATCTCGGCTTGGGTTTCATGATAACTGCACACATGATATAACCTTTTTTTTTTTTACCATCAGACAGAGGCAGGAGGCCTCCAGACAAACTCTTACTGACAACGCTGGTTAAAAGTTTGAAAGAAGGCTATTTTCTAGAATTCAGTGTCTTGTGGAAAATAAGTTTTGAAAAATTTTCTCTTTATGAGAAAAAGATATAGAAGCCTTTAGTTTCCTAAAACTAAGTGCTGTTTTACCCTCACAAATAGCACAGACTCTACATCAACCCCAACAGTATGAAATATTACTTTGCTACCCTATTTAGGAATATGTGTTTATATCAGCAGATCTCAACATCTTCTACTTTTTTTTTTTTTTTTTAAATGACAAGTAACGATATAGACAAGGAAGCAACATGCACACAGACCTGCAATGCAGAAAGTTATTAGCTAATTGTGAAAAACAGCCAGTGCTCCAATGGCAACATACTGCAGAGGTAAAATACTAGCTTCATACTTGCTGGCTGGGAAGCAGCCCTAAGTTGTTTCAGCTAAATGCAATGACATTTACCCTGCCACCCCCACATGTGGATTTGCCTGCACGAGGCATCCTCAGAGAGCATCCGCTGCCAGAACTATCTGATACATATAGTCTAACTCATGGCTTCTGACATACTCCTGCTTGTGGTCACAAACAAAAACAATTTGGATGTCTGATGAAAGAAAGAAGCTGCTCAGTAAGGCTTGCATACTCAATCTGGCACAAAGTCCAGATGAAGCTCTTAGCAAATGCTTGTGTTCTTCAGTTGTCTTCTTTAGTGGCCACAGGACCCACTTATTTTTA